TCACACAGCTTCACAATGAGCTATTTGTACTGTGATACTAAGGGTATCCAAACGCAATGTTTTGCGTTACAAGCACTCACTGCTAGGCCACTGGTGGGGGCATGAATAGATACGAAATAAACGTTTATATGTTTGTGATGGTCAGAATATTTGGCTATTTTGAAACTAAGAGCGACTGAATATTTTTTTTGGAGGAGGTGGATTCACAAATGTTTCAGACTGATTAATCTATGAATTATTAAACAACGGTCCTATATATTCAGTGTAAAACACGTGAGTGTGTATTATCGACGTTTTGATTTTTACCCTCGTCAGGTTAGAGTTTTGGCTCCGCTGAATAACAATTTTAATACAAGAACAACGTATAACGCGCAGAATCTTCGTGAAAGACGCGTTACTAAAAGTTGAAGATGATACTAAGGTTAAAGTAGTACTCATGGATCAAAATGTTATAAAATTGAAAAAATCTTTACATTATTACATTGACATAGCCTCACAATTGTAATAGAAACATTGGTGCTTAAGCAGGTTAAATCTAGTTGGAGTTTACCTCCAACGTATGCATTGTTCATAAAATAATTAAAGAACGTACTTATATGTCTAGATATATGAAGAAACGCCATGGAATTCATAAGTTATAAATTAAATACTTGGTAATCTAAACAGATTTTTACATAAAAGAGATACGCCAATTAACTCTTAAAAGATTAATAAAGAGTTTTATAAAGATTTTTTTATGTGAATTATCTTTGGTTGAAGCTTTTCTTCCAAGATAATAATTATGATAGAATTTTATTTGTCATATGAAATCTGATGTATTCCTATATTTCTGCAATCGTCTGAAGTATTGTCTTTGCAAGTTCTTGCATTTGGTATGCCAGACTGTAATTACGTTCAATATATTTTTTATTCATTTGTCAGCAGGGTTTTCATGAATTTTCGTAATGCTGTCAATAACCTACCTCTTCTAACAGTCGCACTGAGAAGGGAGGTCGTGCGTTTCTGGAAAATTTTGTTGTTTACTGTTGTTGGATTCCCCATGACTGACTATGATACATACACTAACTCAGCTGCTTTTCTGTTTGGTTAAAACAAAATAAATACAATTTACAGGATAATAACTTTTCCGAATATTAAAATCAGCTCTTTGCTCGATGATTAATCGACTTTAACTAGTTTTGGGCATTTTCTCCCGTTTAGTTAACCCAGTAATTCTGGTTTTATATTCGAGTGCTCCTGGATTCTAACGAAGAGACATCTGGTGTTCGATCCTGTGGATCCTTGTTCGAAAACAAGATCAACATATTTGGATATTTCTCGTGAACGTTCTTGAAACTTAAGAAGTTCTGTAACTTTAACGTGGGTTTGGAAAAAAAAAAAAGTAAAATAACCCGAGTGTGAAATAATCATCGAAATAGTTTGTCATAAATCCTACGGCTGTCAGTATTATTACTACATCACAAGTCGAAAACCTTGAAACTCTTTCTGTCAGATTCGACATAAACATTTACTAACATGTAATACAGGTTTCTTCAGAAAATAATGAACGGAAATATAACATTTTCTGTAACAAGTTAATAATGGAAACCTTAAGACCAGTTTTAGAATGGCCCATTGTATTGTTACTTAATATTCCGTAACTGAATACTTAACACCAATTATTTCCTCTCGTTTGGTTATAAACCCACGAGAGTGTTTTAAAACTAAGCAGTCGTTACTCAGTGACGAATTGTAGTATTGTGGAAAGCATAGAATCTTTGTGTATGAAAACATTTGAGCCATAGTAATATTTAAACAGATCAGAGATACAGAAATGCAGTTCAAGCTTTCTAGTACATTTTTTTCTATATCTTACCAGATGACTTGATGCGGATCTTTCATAGTGATATGTTTACTGGATGTTTATATATTTCTGGAAGTTACTGAAAAGACTGCGAATAATTTCTCGTTCAGTCTGATATGCTATTCTCGATAAAATAAACAAATGTTCACATCTATAAAACTATTTTAGACAGTTAGATACTTGATTAATTTTACTACCTAGATGCCAGGCAATAAATTCAGAATATTTGCCTAGGTAAAAACTACATTTAGTTGAGGATGTTTGCTCTAGTGGTCTCTAAAATACATTCATAATCTGCTTCTAAATGTTTCAAATAGTAATTTAAAATAAATCCCATTCCTACTAATTACTGGAATCACTAAGATAAAGGTAGAGGTCGGGCTCACAGCTTATTCTGTAACTTCAATACTACTGTAAGCACCTTCAAATATTTCATTCTTGCATAGCATTGTTGCTTTACAGAGAAGTACGACATTAGGCTACTACTGTTAGTCTGTATACATTTAACATTGTTTGATATCATGTGCTGTTTATTACGAACATCAACTGTTTAGAGATAGAAAACGTTCAAAGGACTATTAGTAAGTTGTGTTTAGAGGCTAAAGCTGTGTTTAAAGTTAAGTTTGTTTCTTTTTTTCTAAGCAGTAAACTATATTGTTTACTTGAGTCATATAACAATATTCACTTGTCGGATTAGGAATATTAAGAAATAAATTTAGCACATAATTTTTTATATAGCTTACAAGTTAAAGAGTACCTAACTCTTAAAAATCTCAGAAAGTATATAGAGTTTGCTTTTGCGAACAAAGATATGGATATTTTGTTTGCAATTACAATTAAGAAGTTATTAAAGAAACTCTTACAGGTAATACAACATAGATTATATTTATAATTCGAATAGGCGAAATTAATGGATGGATTACAGCATCTGGGGCATTTCGTAAGTTAGACTGCTATATAAAGATATAATTAAATAATCGAACCTGTCATCGTTACTTTTCAGGCTTCTTGTTTCAGTTTGTCTCAGGACTACATTAGAAACGAGCTTTGAAACTCTTCTTCCAGCACAGAAAATGAAATTTAATATAGGCACAGCTAGTTTTGAAATTAAACCGTACATAAATAGTAAATTGTACATAAACTATACCTCTTTACTTTATATTATTGTTATATGTATATATATTTATATTTTTACGTTTCGGGTAAAATATCCTAACACTTTTTTTTAAGTTAATATCTGCTGTGTGAGCATATATATATATATATGTATTATTGGCTGCATGCGCTATTAATTTGATAAGTCTAGAATGGGACCAAAACGCTGTGTAACATAAAAGATAATATTATTAAGATTATAGGATATTTCTTTTTGAATTGTGAAAATGTGGGGAAAGAACAGGACATGATCTTTGATTGTAACGTATTCTCTTTTTTATATTTTGAGGTTTGTTTCAGGATTTTCGGACAAAGCTACACGGGGGGCTATTTGCGCCTAATCTTGAATAATGTTCTAGAGGAAAGGCAGCTAATCAACAGCACCTATCGCCAGCTTCTGGGATACTCTAGTCGAATAGAGGGATTTGACTGCCAATCCTATAACGCACCCTCAGTTTCAAAGTGTGGAGTGCAACTTTCCAGCAACGAGACGCGAACGGTTGTCCCTTATATTTACAGTGTATCCCAGAAACTATCAGGTCACTCTCAGCCCAAGGTAGATATACACGATATATGGTATTTTCCCATATAATAAAAATAATAATTCTATATTCGAATCTTTAAATACCTTTTTTGACAAAATTTACACAAAGATTACAATTTAAGATCATTAAAGTAGACGATTTCTCGTACTTTGTTTCAGATCAAAATAATATTTCTTTTAAAAACAATGTACAAAGTAAAGTTGGAATAGATCGTCGTGTTTGAATTTTATATTCAGTAAAAACGGGTTTTTAAATACGTTTAAGCTTAAAACCTAAATTGTTTGTTTATTTTTCAACTAAAAAAAAACCAATGCACATGTGGTTTGTATGATCAAAGTCACGAAGTTTTGCTTACATGTATATGTGAACATACTGTCAAGTAAGAATATATTGCTATGTATTAACTAGTTTTCTACTTTCTGCTTCTTCCAGGAGAAATAGTAATTCTTGAATTAGTTTTCCTGATTTGTGTCACCACCATGAAGGTACTTTACCATGTTTAATATCCACATAATTTTATAAGATTTGATCTTGCTAATGTTCATGATATCTAGAGTTTGTAGATAACAACGATAAAAATCACACTGGAAAAATCTATCTTATCATTTCTGTACTCCACTTTATGAACAAAACAAATAGAGATAAGGGTTGAAGAGAGAGAGAAAGTAAAAAAGTGATTAATGTTAAAGACAGAAAGTAAACGATTTTTTTTTTGCGTAAAGCTAACCGAATGATGTCTGTTTTAACTGTCCCTAATTTTGAAGTAATAGACTAGAAAGAACTATACAACACCACCTACCACCTACTCTTGTAGCCCAAACAGTGGGATTTAACCGTCACTCTTCTAACGCACCCACGTCTCCAAAGCGCGGAGCGCAGTTTTGTTTGCAGTAACAAGACGCGAACCATGGAACGTCAGTTCTACAAATCGGCATCCTAACAACTGGGCTACTCTCGGCCCGACGTAAATAATCTATAAACAAAGTATTCAACTTATATATGTCTGTTTATGTATCTTGGACATTTTTTTTCTAATTTTTTATATGTTAGAAATGAAGATTTATATAATCGTAAACTGCTTAAATAAAACTCAAATGATTTCAAAGATTCCTAACTTTGAGCTTGAAAAGAAATTCGATGCAGCACAAACCGCTTGATCAAGGGTCTCTTGCCTTTATTTTGATTGTGTTCCAGTGCATTTCCATACATGTTTTTTTCTTTCAATTTTATTTCTATACGATTTTACACTAGGGAAGTAAGTTTGTATTTTTATAAATGTACTAGAATTAATAATAGTCATCATTGATTGACTGAAAACGTACATGTACTAGTCGACAGTTAGCTAACTGAGAACGAGACTATAGCAGAACACGTGGTTTCTCAGCCAACGCCTGATATCCCATTAGCTACTACGTTTCGAAGCCAGTTTAGCTTGTACAACGGCACGTTATGGTATAGTATGGAGTTAAATCCCTGACCTCTATTAATAACTTGTTTGTTGTTCATGTCTTCCGGTAAGTTTTTAGACCCGTTTTCTTTCTCATACACCATAACGACTTTTGCTTACATTAAAAAATATGTTAACAGGTCTTTACTCTTAGGCTATAAGCTATTGCAATAATTATACTTTAGTCTACATACTCGCCAGTATTCTTCTAACCACAACATGCAAAATTCTGAATTATTTTTTCTTGTTTAAAACAAATGCCAGATTCTTTTTTTTTCTTTTTTTTTTTTGGAAAACTGCTCCGATTTTTAGTATTTATAGACTTTATAGTTGTGAAAATTGTTGCTTTATTATTCAGCAAACTGTTTAATGTTGTCGGCACAATAATGAAAATTTTTGACTTATTAGTATACTTCTATTAAAACATATTTAAGTTGTATATTTTATTTCTGTACTGGAACAATAATAATAGTTGGATTTTTTAAGTTAAAAATAGCAAAAAAAAAATGCAGTGTACCTAGTTTACTTTGAATGGTGTAATGCTTGCAAACTTAATATTTTTGCAATTATAAAGAGCAACTCTTGAAAACTAAGCGTTACCTGAATAGATATTATGATATAACCCGAGAAAATATAACTTTTTAATTTATGTCTTACCTGGTTTTCAGATGTAGTTTACTCCAGCTAATCCAGTTGTCATGGTGAAACTAGCTTCATATAACCTTGTAAAAACAGAGCCTGGTACGAGTTTCTTACTAAGTCGTCATGGTGAAAGCAGCTTCGGTGCATGTTTCTAGTTCTCTCCTAACAATCATAACGAACCTTTTATTAGGTTGGCAAGGTGAGCTTAGTCCTTAAAGATATTATTGATAAAGAACAACAACAGCTAAAGAGACGGTCATAAAATACTAAATATTGCATTAATGGCACGTTTTAAAGCAAGGAGCCAAAGCATGGACGAAAAATATAACTATTTTTGTTCTATAGTATAAGAACGTGAATTCTATATACTGCTTTGAATGCTGTCGTAGAATTATTGTATTTTAAATAAGCCTATTTCTACTTAAGAGATCCTAACGTGTAGGATTAAAGGTACTTAACTATTAAACCTTTTCAGCTTTTTGCTAGGCCTAATATATTAACATTTTTGAACCAAATAACTCTGAGAAAAGTAGCAGAAAACAATTAAACTCAAGAGTAATAATTCTATTTCATCAATTAGAAAATTACAGAAAATTTCTGCCGGAAGCATGGTATCTTCCAGTAAAGGAGGTACTCATATTACTAATAAAAGTACTGAAATAGTGGCTTCCATTTCAGTTAAATGTGCCTCTTTTAATTTGTTAAACTGGTATCTTCCTACAAAAGCAAACACAGTACGTCGTTCACAATAACATTTCTCATAGGTGTATAAATGACGTTATCTTTCTTCTTTGGGGCGTGTTTTTTGTTTTCTTTTTCGTTTCTGTAGAGATAAGCCCATGATATTTCTTGTCACGGATTCATTTAATTATCCAATCGTGTGAAGTCATCTGTGGCTGCAGTCTCTATGGTGAGAAATCAAAAACGGTTTTAATTATGTATTGTAGCACTATAACGCAATACGAACACCCTATTTAAGACATCTTGCATTACTTGAAAGCCACAAAACATGCAATGCAACGATTATATAATATTGTGAAAAACAATCGATATAGAGTTTTTGAAATTTTTTCGTAATTAATTAAATGGTTTTTTTTATCACGGGGTTTCACCGAATTGAATCTGTATTATCGAAAGTTTCGTTTCATTACTAGAGAAACTTCGTTTTATTTATGATACACCAAAACAAAACTTAATATGTTTTCGACACACTCATTCTCACGAAACAACAAAGTATTCGAACATAGTTCCTAATAATACAACATTTTCCATATATTCTGTATATACAAATGTCGAATTAGTTAAAATGACTAGAATTTAAAAAGTATACTACGCGTTACACCGCACACTGTAGGTACTCTGAAATGTAATGCATATTCGTTGACGCGTATCCATCGTTAAAATTATTTAGTTTGTCCGGGATAGTTTCCGTTTTATTGACATCAAGCTGATCAATAATATTTCTGCACCATTTATTTTGAATTATAATTAACTCAGTGATTGTTTTTATGTGTTACATAATAAAAAGAATGAACAAAAACACATAGTTATATATGAATAAATACATGCCATTTCCGGTTCCAGTATAAAGTATTTTATTGGTCATATAGATAGATGTGTTCCAGTAAATAGCATGATCCTACTGTATACTGATTATTGTCAAATACTGATATCTACAAAAAAAAAAATACAATTAATGTAAGGTAAAAAAATGATGTTTTTTATTTGAGGATAAAGGAAACTGTAATAAAATGTTTTCAACGTTCTTCACGGAAGTACACACATACACACACACAAACAATCACGGAAGACCATTTAGATAATCAACGGGCTCTGAAAACACACCCCAAAACCAAACAAAAACAAATCCTTCATCTGTAATGTGAAACAGAATCATCCTACTCAAAAAAACATTTGCAATAAACACATATTTGAAGTTACGAGTTAAGATTCACAAGCTTCAGCCACAACAAATTGACGACTTTTTTTTTTTTACGAAGAAAGTGGTCAAAGAAACTGGAAACGCAGCATTCCGTATCTGACAAGTCGCCCGATACAGCTCCAACAGACTTTTGTGCCTTTTATTTGCAAAAGCGAAGGCATCAGAAACTGAAGGTCAAAAAATAATCAAAAGAGACAAAGAAACTGGTATCAATTACGACATGATCAGGTTCGGAAGACTAATTAAGCTTTCCAGATCAGATTTGAAGTACCTTAGGCTTACATCACTCAGAGACAGACGTAAATTGAACAGATGCCTTCCTGTAGGTCTTCAACAAACGAGTGATGTTGAAGTTGGTCTTTACACAGTGTTACGCAACTTTCGTCAGGAATTGATGAAAGAATGAGTTGCAATTAGTGAATCTGTGTTCTGGAGAGGCAACAGACAGAAGATACTTAAATCTGTGTACAAAAGGGACACTTTTTAAGTGGAAAAAAGGGTGCTTTGGTCTAATGAGTCAAAGTTTAAGATTAGTGGAACCAGTCGACGCCAGTACGTTTTTTGCAGGAGTGGTGACAGATTAGAGGAAAATTGTCCACAGCCTTTAGTTAAGCATGATGGAAATAGCATCCAAGTATGAGGCTGTTTAATCACAACCGGAGCTGATATCTATATCGTACTGATGCAGTTTTGAATTCTTTCTAATACAAGCAAATATTCATGTACCGTTTCGTCCATTCTGGTTGTCGGTTAATGGAAGTAATCTCATTTTCCAGTATTATAATGATTCCAAACATATAGCGAACGCAGTAGAACAGCATCTTAATAGAAAAGAAGCAGATGAAATTCTTGCATACTTGGTGTGGCTTCCAAACCTCAGTGTTGTTAAATGTGCCTGGTGCTGTTTTAATCGAAAAAAAATAACGGCAGAGGCAACCAAAATCAAATGACAAACTCTGGGCAGTGCATCAAGACGCCTGGAATTCAATACTCACTACGTATCTCCAACAGCTTGAAGAAAGTATTCCTGAAGCAGCAGTTTTAGCTAGAGGTGTTCAGACGTTATAAAGATTTTAAATACCTGCATCCAAAGGAACTCAACATGTCTTTACTTTAAAGTATATGATAATTATCCGACTCTTCACTTCTATTGTTGTTTTTTGGTTGTACTTGATTATCCTCAATTCTATTTTTTCTGTTGGTTGTGCCTGATTAACTTCACATCTATTATTTCTGCTGGCTGTGCTTGATTAAATTTACGTCTATTGTTTCTGTTGGTAGTGCCTGATTAATCTCAGTTCTATTGTTTCTGTTGATTGTTACTGACTAAATTCACTTCTATTGTTTCCGTCGGTTGTGCCTGCTTAACCTCAGTTCTATTGTGAGTTTTTTGGTTGTGCCTGATTAATCTTAGTCTATTGTTTCTGTTGATTGTTCCTGTTTAAGTTCATTTCTATTGCTTTTGTTGGTTGTTTCTGGTTAACTTCACCTCTACTGTTTTTGTTGGTTGTGCCTGATTAACTTCACAACGATTATTTCTTCTGGTTGTGCCTGATTAACTTCACATCGATTATTTCTTCTGGTTGTGCCTTATTAATTTCACTTCTATTGTTTCTTTTGGCTGTACCTGATTGATTTCACTTCTATTGTTTCTAGTGGTAGTGCCTGATTAATCTCAGTTCTATTGTTTCTGTTGATTGTTACCGGTTAAATTCACCTCCAATGTTTCTTTTGCTTGTGCATGATTAAATTCACTTCTGCTGTTTCTGTTGGTTGTGCCTGATTAACTTCACAACGATTATTTCTTCTGGTTGTGCCTGATTAACTTCACATCGATTATTTCTTCTGGTTGTGCCTGATTAACTTCACTTCTATTGTTTCTTTTGGCTGCACTTGATTAACTTCCCATTTATTGCTTCGGTTTTAAGGAATTATTGTTATCAAGTCATTCAAACAAAAAATAATGAAAGTTTATTTTGTTCAGTTAATTTAACGTGTTAATCGTCCCTGCTAGAGTCAGTTGGTCAGCTTAAGGATGTAACAGAATGATTGCGAGGTAATGCTTACCTTGCCAATTACTGCTTGATTAAACATTATCCACACGCCTACTTCATACTGGAAATTTCAAGTAATCTTTTCGACAGACAATTAATTAAAAAAGCAAAAATGGGAAGAGGATGTGTGAGAAAGACGAAAAGAATGACGTTATTGTTTGAAATTACCTATAGAGACAAATATTCAACATTACAACGATTTTGTCGTGTATCCAAACCGTAAAAACAAGCAATAGGATGTGAGTAGTAACTTCGGTGGTCAGATAGGCAGGCCCTTGATTTTATATAAAGTTTCCATCGTGAGCGCTGAAACAGTCTGTTGAAAATCTTTCACAGGAAATGTTGTTGGTTTCGAGTACGAATATAAATTACCATATAATAGAAACAGGTCTACTTTTAGCCTGTACTATGGTTACTATATCAGACGTAATGAATCGAAACCTTAAAGTTTGTAACCTAAATACCTTTCTAATACGTTGTGCAATACAGTAGAGTAGAGCTAGGTTTACTATGCCAGCATCAAAATGATCTGCAAACAAATCATGTATTATTTGTTGCAAAACTTCTTCAGTAAACTATGTCGTTCGTCATTTTTCAAAAAAGCTTGATCATTTTCTTATTAGTTATTAACGAATATTTTTTCAAACTTACCAATCATAAATTTAGAAATTTGAGCTTAGAACAGGAAATGTCAACAAGCTCTAAATCTAAAGCTGAATTGAAAACAAATTTCAAAACAGTAATGCATTATAAGAGATCCTTTCTGACATTTTAAACTTAACGAAATATTTATTCAGTAGCATAAGTGTTCTTATAGTTGAGCTTTTAATGACAACCTCACAATTGACTCGGCTGGAAAATTAACTTAAATTGACTACTTGAGCTTAGTGAGACTGCAATACCGTAACAACTTAACTAAGTAACAGATTAATAAGTTAGTTAAATGAAACTAGTTAAAATGTAACAAAACAGTTATGTGGAAAAGACAAGTTAATAAGAAACAGAAGAATAAGCTAGCTAAATGAAACTAGTTAGAACGTAATAAAACAAAAAAGTTGATAAAATGAACTTATAAATTTAGGTTTGAACAAAAGTTAAGTTGATTTATGAACTTGGGCTGAAAGAACACTGGTTGACTAAAAGATCGGTTGTAGAACAGCTTATTGCAAGGGCTTGAAGAACATAATAATTCGGCTTAATTGA